CGTATTCTAAGACTTTCGTTTAGATCGCTAAGGCCAAATATCGCTCTATCGTAAATTCACTATTTACGTCGCGTTGTGTTGTGTCGGTTCTGTCGCGAAACTTTGACGGGTCATAACTTCTTCGTGATAACTCGGATTTCAACGTTCTTTATATGTACGGAATCCTTGTAACATATACTACAACTTAGTTAAGATTACTCTTTCTAAATAATCTTCCATCAAAAAGTCATTTTTGATGCTCATTGTCTTTAAATTGACTAGCCCGAATCTGCGGGCGTTACAATTTGAATAAGGGTTAGATCATTCAAGTTATCTGTTTTGCAAAATCCGTAATTGTTTTGTGAAATAGAGCAAGTAACAAGCGCTAAATTGAATTCTTTTGAATAAATCTAGTGTAAATCATATTCACACATTATTACGTTCCTGAGCTTGTGAGAAGTATTAAATGTTTTTGGGAACATTCACATAAAGCTTAATGCAATCTTTCAATCTAACTCTAAGAGCTTGTTTAGATTAGGTTAGTGAGGTTAGGGTTAATCAAAGAGCTTATTTTGTTTAATTAATGTGGTGAATGGAAAATGTTAGAGCTTGTTAACACTTTCAAGTACCAATTTAGGTAGAACTGAACAAATATCATGTTATCTTGGAATCACATTGCTATGTCATTATACATAGAGTTGGAGTCTTTCATAAATTATGAATTTATTTCAATTAGTTAACATCTTTCTTGTTTCTTTAATATTTTACTTGAATTATCGTTTACAAAACCCCCTTTTTACTTTTGGTGACCAAAGTACCTTGCGCAAAGAGGTATATACTGATTGTCCCGTGTCTATGCGGTTCGACCCTGCATTCCGTGTACTACCTTTTAGGGCAATATACCAGTGTTCTTTTGGAGTATACTTGTAACGCTCTAAATTTTCAAACAAAATTTTCATTTTTAAAACCACATAAAACACAATCTCACGTTTCTCCAAAACCCAATGTATAATATGTTCAAAACACAAGACAACAAAATGTTTGATAATATCCCAAAATCCTCAAAACAACATAATCTCAAACTGGTGTGTACAATCAAGTCGACGCCTTCCCGCGTTCCTGTGAGGTACCTGAAACACATATCACACAACACTGTAAGCACGAAGCTTAGTGGGTTCCCCAAAATACCATGCACAAATAATTAGCCTCTCATTGCTATATCTCAATAAGGACCCTCTGGTCATGTGTCTCAGTGAGGACCCTCCGGTCTCACAGCTCGGGTCGAACCCTCCAGTCCGGTATCTCAGTGAAGACCCTTCGGTCTCATGACTTGGTTTGGACCCTCCGGTCCTAACTCAATAAAGCACAGAAATAATATACAACATAAATCACAGAGACAAAAATGCATGATATCACATAACTCAGTATAAGCACATAAGACCCTCCGGTCAATAACTCATATAAGACCCTCCGGTCACACAGTATTACCACTCAGGTAAGTATAGTGAGAAGACTCACCTCGTAAGCAAAGCAAGTATGTCTCGTAATCCATGATCGGTCTAGACTCTGCCTACATGCCATAATCATCTCTAATTAACACTTTATATCAACCACACTAAAGATGATAAGCTAATCCCTTTCTAACTCCCGGAAAGGGTGAAGGACCATTTTACCCCTCCATGGTCTCCTTATCTATAACTTGACCAAACCCTAAAAGTCAACGGAAGTCAACACTCGAGTCAACAGTCCATGTTGACCCAACTCGTCGAGTGCATCTATGTGACTCGTAGAGTTCCTCCTGTTCTCAGAAAATCGGGAAAACTCCAACTCAACTCGCCGAGTTGTCTCATCAACTCGTCGAGTTTGCACGTGTCCAGACTATAGGGGAAAACCCTAACCGACTCGTCGAGTTGGCTCATCAACTCGTCGAGTCCCTTCAGTCCATTTTCTCATTCAGACGATTTTAAGCATAACTAAAGTCCCATACTCTAGATCTAGCCTCCCAAGGCTGAAATACCACCTAAAGCTGCAAGCTTTACATCCATGCATGGCACCTAGGGCTCAAAATGCCAAAACAAAGCTCTATAGAGGGTTTAATGTATGCAACTTGGCCAATAGCTTGATAAAGCTTGAATCTTTAGGCCCAAGGGACCTCATACTGTCCAGACCTGAAGTTTCAACTTCATGGCATGCTCAAACAACTCAAAGGCTCAAAAGGAAAGATGGAAATAGCCACAAACTCCCTAGTGAAGAGATCTAACCAAAGAATGATCAATGTGATAGCTTTTTACCTCCAAATAGGGCACAAACCCTGAAGTGATAAGGGAGGCGAAATGAAAGGCTTAAGGTCCTTTAAATAGGGCACAAACCCTGAAAATTAGGGTTTTCACACTCAGCTCCTACTCGTCGAGTTGGGGTCCTCCAACTCGTCGAGTAGACTCTAAAAATCACACGGGTATCTCCACCTCTACTCGGCGAGTTGGGGCCTCCAACTCGTCGAGCCGCCCTGGCAAAATGAATATAACTTAATTAAATATTATGTCTGGGAGTCGGGATGTTACAATACTGTACCCCTAACATTTGTTGGGTTTGACAACCTAACAGTGCTAAACATTTGTCTATAATCTATTTTATACAATCTAATGCCTGTGTGGTTGCACTCATTTTTCTTATGCATAATAGACAAATGTTATTATTCGTTTTTCTTATGAATATAAGATAAATGTTATTACAAATGTCATGTTTCTTGGAGTTACACCGACCGACGATTTCTATAGACACATCTTACACGTTTGTCTTATATGTCACGTCCATCGACACTTTATGTAGAAATGCATGTCATATTTATATTTTGTATTTTAAAAAAAAAAACTTTACCAAGGTTTGAAACATAAATTAAAAAAATAAGGCGTCTTTTGAAAATATTAATTTTTTTTTGAAACGTCAAATACCAAGCGGAAGCCCTTCCGCTTTTGGGCTCGAGCTCTTTTACAGGACAAACCCTCACCATTTTTAATGAGATTCCAAAGAAAAATTCCCCGTAAGAGGCCACCAGAGTCAAACTCCCCACCTTTCCGAGATCGGCTGGGCTTCATTGGTTTGAAAATATTAAATACTTAGTAGGTAAAAGGTATAATTAAAAACAAACAATTGAATTTATCTTGCATTGAATTGGCACACTGTTTAAGAAAAAGAATATCGAATTCTACCTTTACCACCAAACATCTATTTTTATTTTCATCTATTTATATTTTTAAGAAAAGAAAAATATATTCTATCAAATAAAATTTAACTATCATCCTCAATTTGCATGATTTTTTGCTATTTTGTTTCACACAAAATCATTCGCGTAGCACCTGTGTTACAGTTTAAATATTAATTTTTTAAATAAAAGTTTTTAACAATAACAATAAGAGAAAATTTGGATAATAACCAAAAAAGGAGATTGGTTTGAAGAAAATAACCAAGGAAAATCAAATTTTGGAAAATGACCACAGGATCCGCAGAGCACCCTCTGCGGAACCATTAAATGCTCTGCGGATCCTCTATAGCTCTGTGAAATTGATGTTTTTTGATTTTTTTAATTTTTTTTTTCGTTTTTTTGTTTTTTTTTTGCGTTCATTTTCGTTTATTAATATTAATTTTTTTTAAATGCACTAATACCTTATGTGATTATGTAAATAATTTGACAAAAAAATGTTAAAAATAATGAACTTATGTTTGATATCAGTCCACAGAACTCTTTGGGAATCCACCCTCTGCGGATCCATTAAAGCCCCTGCGGATCCAGCTACAACTCTGCGGAATGTTGGTTTTTTAATTTTCTTAATTTTTTTTTCGTTTTTTTTGCGTTCACTTTCGTTTATTAATATATTTTTTTAAAATACACTTATACCTTATGTG